CTGAGGTGGTAGGTGACCCAGTACACCATCACTCACTGATGACACTGAGGTGGTAGGTGACCCAGTACACCATCACTCACTGATGACACTGAGGTGGTAGGTGACGCTGTCGCTGCCGTGGGTGTTGGTGGCGGTGCAGGTGTAGCGGCCGCTGTGGCTGCGCTGTGCGTCGACTATCCGCAACTTGCCACTAGATATCACCGACACTCGACTGTGAATCGGACATTGATGTATAGTTACTGACGATTTCTGGACATCTGATATCAGATCTATAAAGAACATCTACGTTCAGGACATATTGTTACCTTGTGGCGGTAAATCAAATACATTGAGCAAATTAAATTGTTAAATGCTTAAAATAAAGAACACTTAAGCACAGCACATATTGTTACCTTGTGACGATAAATAAAATATATTGAGGAATTCAATCTTTCCAATGCTTAAGATTCTCTTAGTAACGTATGGTAAAAAGTATATATAATTTTCTAAGCTTCTCTGAAAGATATCAAAATTTTTCGTCGGTATACTAAACATAAATTATAAATAAACTCGGTGACCCATCACCTGTCTTCTACAATATCCCTGCCGTCCTGTGCCCAGCGCTTCGAGGGCTCGGGCTGCCCGACGGCGTCGCAGGGAAGCGTAACGTCGCGCCTCCAGGCCACCGACACATCACCGCCCACCGACCACACGCCCGCGCCCACTGCAGACCACACATTAGCGCTCAGGACAGTAACACAGCGACCGCTTTAAATTGGTGTGAGAATTGTTCTGCAATTATATTATAATTCCTAAGTGAACATAAGTTGTGAAATTATTTGGCCTAGAATAATATCCTAATTTAGATTGATTCGATTCTTGAGTACTGGTATAAGGACTTGAATTCACGTCACAGAATGTCGTATGAATATATAGTGAAAGTGACAAATTTGTTTACAACAAGCTTTAAAAAGACTTCATTCAAATAAGGAAAAACATTTCCAAGCGCATGCCACCAAATTTTGAACGATAATGGAGGAATAAAATTTAACGGAAAGTAATAATGTTGTGAGCATTTCTTCACTTTATAATAAAATTGCAACAGTTTTAATGCAATGTTACCGCTGACGCTGGTGGTGGTCGTTGCGCTGTTAGACTCCTTGCCTCTGCCGACGCTCGTGTCTGCTGCCACCCACGCCTACAAGAAGACAGCCCACAAATCGTTACCTTTAGAATGGTTATGTTTGAATATCTCACGATAATTACTTGGGAGAATTTAGAAAACCACATGCAAAATTGACCAGAATCATGCAATCAGAGCACGTACAACGAAAATCTTCAATTTAGTAGAAATATATCGAAATGTGTTTAGTCGACATCCGGCAGTGATCTAGCATCTGACCATATTTAGAGACGAGGCAGCTCCTGGAAGTAAATTTGTCATTATGGGCTGCCAGAAATTAAAAAAAAAATCAACACAGACCGTTAGCACGAAATTTCGGTACCAAACCTCCACTTTGGAGTCAAGGCAGCCCGTGATCGTAAAATGGTCCTCGTTTGGATCAACAGTACGAGTCTCCGCCGAGCGCGGCCCACAGCGCCATCTTACGGCGTAGCTCGTAATTCGTCCCCGAGTTTCTTTAGGCAACCGCCACGACACGATGGCGCTACTGCGGCCTGCAGCTACGATCTTGATAGCCTCCGGAGGTGACGGCACTGATAAGTGAGCGTTGTGGATGTAAATTAATGACAATGAATCGGAAAAAATTTTAGTTAATCAAGACAATGTTTTGTTTCCCAAGATGTTACAATAATATTAGAGATTTGATAACCAGATTGTACCTAGCTGAGGGCTACGGCCCTCAATAGAATGGTGGTCTGAAAAATGGATATTTTAAACAAAGAAAAACACCTGCTCTTTTCAGTTTCATTGGCAGGATATTAAGACAGCCGTCCCTACCGTCCTCGAGGGTGGAGCAGACGATGGGGTCACTAGGGACGCCGACACCCACAGCGGTGGCGGCAGAGATAGAGACGCTGTAGTTAGTGTAAGCTCTGAGCGACACCAGTCGTGCCTGTTGATCCTCCACCACCACCAACACGCCACCGTCCCCGCTTGTGCCCACCGAGGAAGAGAAGGCCAGGGGGAGGCTTTGAAGTGACTTTGGGATACCAAAGCCCGAGTTTGATTTGTGAATCACTCTTCCAGGCAGCATCTCGGAGTCCGTTTCCGTCAATTCTGCGTTATAATAAGAAGTATATGCTAAAGGGAGGTCGTGATAATTGATTTGAGGCATATTCGTGGTAGATTCGTTTTGTGGTAGATTCGAGGCTGATCCGTCTCGAGGGAGAGGATAGATCAATAAAAAAGTTGTGAAGCCTAGAATTTTCATTTCCTATTTTGAATTTGTAAAAAATTTTCTAAATTCATTAAAACAATGGTGCTTATGCAGATAATTCAAACCAAAGGAAGAACTTGTTCTAACCCGTTTCATGTAGTTGGCGGTAGGCAACTCTGTAACTTGTAATGATGCCGTTGGCTCGCTCCGGCGGCGGTGGTGTCCATCTGACCAGCAAACTGTGCGACGACAGCGGCTCGCAAGCCACGTGCTCGGGCGGACCATTCGGCTCTGGCAACACAAGTGCTTATGGTTATTCCAATATGGAACGAGTCAATGAGGAATTCGAATGAGGACGATTGTGCTGCTAGTACTAGGTCAGTTTTGGAATAGTATTTGATTTTACTCTGATAAAACTTTTCTCAAACTTTTCCTACAGCTGGTTTCAATTTTATGAGTGATTGACAGCTTTTTTGGATCTACAACGCTAGACACAGGCGCAATATTCTCATAGGAGTAATGAGGCTCAAGCGTAATTTTCCAGCAAGTTTAGTTAAACTGAAGTAAAGAAGAATCATTATTGACACCCAACATCGATGTATTCAACGAACCTGTTTTCTCTGTGCCCAAGATAATAGCCTAGTATTTTGCCATGGGTTGTGTTGGGCAACGGAGGTTCCCACTGGAGTCGCAGAGCCGTTGAAGTTGAACTCAGAGCCTGAGAGGTTTGCAGATCTTAGATAGAATTCGAGAAAGTTTTAAATCAAACAGGAATAATTGTCAGTTTTGTTTAATGAAACGGGCTTTACCTTGGTTTTCCCAGCTGTTGTTTCTAAATAATTAATTACTGTGACATTTAGTCGCACCAATACCATGTTATACTCGTAAGAGAAGCTTACTCTTAAGAATGAATGATCCAATAACAATTCCACTTCTTCCACTTCTTGATACTTGTAGGCTCCGCATGAGCGTCAAAAACTCCCTACAGTTGTTGGGCACCAAGGAGGTTTCCAAGTAAAGAGAAACGTAAGTAACCACACACCTTCACATTCCTGGGGCGTCCCCGAGACTTTCCAATCGAAGTAACCACACACCTTCACGTTCCTAGGATGCCCAGTGGGAGGCTCATCCAGGGTCGTCGCCGTGAGCACGTCAGTGAGGTCGCTTCTGCCCACGCTGTTCTCGGCCGCGACGCGCAAGAAGTAGCGCGTGGCCGGCACCAGATCGGTCAACTTCGCGGGTGTCGAATGCACTGCCACTTCCTTCGGTATGTCTGGAGTAATAATAAATTTAGTGCACTATTCAGTTGTTGACAATAAATGCAAAGAAATGATATTGCGCAAATTATATAAGGTATTTCCAGCATTGTCAGAGGTTACATCAGGTGCGTCATCAGACCCAAAGGAATAGAATTTCGATCTGAGCCATAATTTCGATCACTTTGAAAATTTTTAGCTTGAGAGAAGATTTTTATAGAATGGCCTTCACATACCAGTCAAAATCAAAAGTTCATTCACTCTGCAAATATCCTAGCAAGACTGACCGCGGTCGGAGGTAAGGAGGACGACGTATCTTCTGACGGGCACGTCTGACCCGTGAGGTGACGTCGCTTCCTGCCAGGTGAGCGTCAGGGAGCGCGACGTCGTCTCTGCCACGGTTACGGCCAATGGAGGTGCGGGCACGTCTGTAAGGCCATCGTTTAAATAAGTAGTGAGACTTACGTATCATACATTTCTACTCTACTACATAGTGTCATGCTTTAATTTCGCAAACTTACGGCAACATATAATACTGGACATCATAAACATCTATGTTAAGCTCATACTACACAACTGCCTACGCAGTATACACTACTATCTAGTATCTTGCACTAGACGAAGTAAGTGCCCGCTAAAAGGTAGGTAAGTATTCAGAGCTTATCACCGCAAAATCTTTCATCACCTGAAATTATTAACACTTTCCAAAATTTAGTTCGACCTTGCACCAGCAGATGATGCAGGGCAGAGTTAGTGCCGTGTCCGTTGGTCGCCATGCAGTGGTAGTCGCCGCCATCAGTGGCCTCGGTTCGATGTATTGTCAGACGAAGCTCGCGTCCATTTGACTCTACTTTGTCATCAGCGCTCTCTACGCTGTACCTGGAGTAGTGAAAATATAAACAAGGTGGTGGTTCAAACGTGAAAAAGTAAATAGAACTGGGAGAATTATGATAACTTCTTATTAAGATTAGAGGGAAGCTTTGTTAATAGCACACTTCCCTATTAGCGTTAAGCAAGTTTTAGTTACACTCACCAATACGCAATGGTAAGGGTAGGGAGCATAGCGGAGTTACATGCACTTGTCTAGCAGAAGTGAGCATAGCGGAGTTACATTAACCTACCATTTGAATGATTAGATGAATGGAGGTAGTTACCCACCTTGCATCGGAAGAAATAGTGAAGTTGTTCCTTAGCCAGCGTAGGGTCAGGGGAGCGTCTCCACGAGCCTGGCATATGAAGGTTGCTTTTCCACCCACCGCCACCTCCACGCGCCGCTCAGAGGTTGAAAATGTCGGCGGCTCTGTGGGACCAAATTAGGAATGGGAGCATTAGGAAGATACGGCTATTGAAGAAAACATTTATGTATTAAATCGTAATCCAAAGTGAGGGAACTTGATAAGTTTGTGTAAACGGAATCCTGTCAACGAATATTCATTGATCATTAAATTTTTTACTGTATTCTCATGACTTTCTCATATATGATCAACGAAAAATTCTATCGCAATAGCTGCAATAAACCACTCAGTTGCAGTAAAAACGTTTCGTGACGAGAGAAAATTTTTTATAGCAGGAGCCAGACCATGTACGACGATAGTGATGACTTTGGAGAGTCCAGCACCAACGCCGTTGCTGGCCTGACAGAGATAGCGTCCGCCGTGGTCTTGAATAGCCTCCACCACCACCAACGAGCGCCCACCTTCGCCGAAGGTGTTGGAGGAAAACTCGCTGCCTCGGTAAGTGATGCCGCTGTCGTAGCCGACATCCTCGTGTAAGGGAGTCGCAGTTTTCGCAGGCATTAAACCGCCGCTGATATCACCCCAGTTACCCGAAGCTGTAAAAGGTAATAATTATGATTTAAAATGGATGAAAATATTAAAATTGCCATTGTTATTGCTACATGTATTTCATCGAAAGATGAAATGTATGCATCCTTGTTAAAAAGAGTCAGGAAATGAACAATATAACGGATTTGCATGAACTACTTTCAGAAGAGAGAGGCTTTTGTGGCAAACTCAAAGCTCTCATCCAGATTAATGTTCCTACTGACTCGTTTGCTTCCTCCATGAACTTACTCCATGTGTGAATTAAAAGTTTAGGTTTTAGTTAAAAACAATTAGTTTAGTTAAGTTGGTATTTAAATTCTTTACTAACGCGTTTGCTTCCTCCATGTGACACTGGGTGTCGGGAAGCCGCTGGCGCTGCAGGGTATCTCCAGAGACGCGCCCAGCGAGACCTGTCTCTTATACACATCTAGATGTGTATAAGAGACAGGATTTATCCATGGTTTTATTAGTCTTTGCCACCAAATTGAACTACTGGTC